TGGATAAAGTAGGGATTTGGTAGAAAACAGTCATCGCTATGTCTCAAAGAAAAGAATTTGAGTGACTGCCATATCTTCTTACAGATCTGAAAATGCCTCAGAAGTTCAGACTGCGTTTGAGGCCCGCTGTCACACACCGAGCATAGGAAGACCGGCAAATTCTCATTCACGCAGCGCCAAAGGACGGAAAGCAAGTGGCACAATGATATGTTTATTGAGAGGCTTTGGATAATAGAAAAGGTGGTGGCTGCTGCTGGAATGTTACAACCATTGACAGGAAACATGAACATCGATTTCCTTACCTAAACAGGCGCTCACACAGACATACATTCCTCATCCCACCCCCCCCCTCCCCCCACCGTCACTCTTGCAAGAGAAAGATTTTACAGCAATGCACAGGACAATACGGTATCACAGTTTCTACGACTTTTTTTTTCTTTTTACATGAAAAAGATGGACTGTAACACATTTATGAGGGAGAGTTTCTTCTTAGGCACGGCAAAAGCAATAAGATGTGTATCTCCACAACCACAAAATAATGACATCTTACACATTTCATAAATCCTCAGGGGTCCTGATAAACTGAATGTTTACAATGGATCTCAGGTGGGAACAACTTCTATCGGGGGAACCCACAGACTGAAGTAGTGTACTGCATTCAGAACATAAAGAGCATATTTGTATTAAAGGTAAAAGTACTTAAAAACGTTGATTTTCATTGTTGTTGTGTGAATTAACTTGAAAGATACCATAGTAAAGACTCAGTTCATCAGGTTACCCCTTTATACATATATATTTTCATATAAGCTCTTCTTATACAGATACACATTTGGGATTTTGCAGAACATGGGACTGAAACATTTAATATAAATGTAATCCCAGGTCAGGCAGAGGAATGGCTATTAAGAGCATTTTCAGTCTACACACATCTCCACCGGTCTCCTCCGGAGCTTTGTATTTACCACGTACGAGTAAAGTCACACACAGACAAAATCACAGACAGTTACTTGAGCTGTTTTTGCTCTTCTTCTCTATTTGTAATTCGAGTCCAATAAGTCCACTGCATTTTCCCATTTGTGTGAAACACTTCATGAAAACGCTTCCGCATGCCAACACAACATGGAACACCCTCTCTTTGGAAAACCTTGTGCTCAGACAGAGACAGCCAGTGATGCTCTCCTGAGATCCTTCCCTACTTTAAGTACAATTACTTCAGCAGCTTTACTGAGAAAAAGACGATAGCTCTTTGACAGGATGTAGCACACGTTGCACTCTGTATTTGAGTACTGCTGAGTAGTAAGCTGGTGTTTTCATTTGTGTTGAAGGAGGCGAGCACATTTGCTTTTGGAGGAATATGTATGGTAGTTTGTTATTTAGTCGGGACTTTAATGCTAGCATAACGGAGCCACACAATCAAACAAGGAAGCACAGAGGCGATAAACAGTTTCCAAGATTTGTGACAACACTGAGAAAGGCAGAAAAAACACCACTCAGTCAAAAACTGAGAAATATTGCTGGCATTTAAGAGTCAATTTCCACACATCTTCTAATCTAGAAAAAAACATTAAATTTGTGAGATGTTAACTTTAAATCTGAATCTCCAGTTTTATTCGGAAACACCTACTTTTCTCAACCAATGTTATAAAGCTGAATATAGACAAGTTTCAGTTTTTCCATTTTAAAAACTGAAAGCTGGCCATATTGGACAAATGTTAATTCCTTTAATAATCAGAGCAGTGATTGTTTATTCTTTTTCTTTTTTTGCCCTTGAGGTGCAATTGTTACAGCAATCATCATGTTCTTTCCTGAAAGGTTGCTCGCATCAATATTCAAGTTGTGTAGTAAGGTGATTACACCTCAATAATTCAGTGTCTTGGAATTGGCTTATATCAAAGCTGAAGGCCTGTATGTATGTCTATTCTCCATGTTATTTGGCAAACATTATTCATTCGATGAGCTCCAAATTTGATGGATCGTGAGGCGAGACTGAAAAATATTCTTACAGGTCCAAGTCAAAATTCCAGAAAGCTGTGAGGCAAACATATCTGTACCAAAAGAGCTATTAGCAGTTTAGACATGAATAAGTCAGTATTTACAGGCTGTAGGGTGTGGTAGTGGAGTTATATGCATGGTTTATAATCATTATAAGCCAATACCTTCACTTCAAATGCTTTAACAGTTTACTTAACCGGTATTTGCTGTTTGATATGGTCGTAAACACCTGGGGTTAGGAATCCAGTTTTAGTAGTTACATTTTCTGTGATTAGGAAAAAACATGAGCAGCCTGTTTCAATTAACACTCAAAATATCTATCATTTAGGAGAGAAATCATTTTTTCTGGCATACAGTTTGAAAAAGTTTGTCTTTTTTCAACAAGACACCAACACTGTGCAAACAAACATGAAAGTGAAAGAAAAATAATTTAATGTGTGTTGGAAGGACAATTGAAAAATTCATGTCCATCTGTGCAAATCAAATTATTAAAATTTGTGCCCATTTCATGATGTATCATGAGTCCAGGCTGAGTGGTGCTCCCAATCGTGCACTGCAGTATTGGAACTATAAAAGGCAACATCTTAGAATTTTGTTTTTGATCTGCCAATACTGTTCGTGGCACAAATATAGACATGAGGTGTCACAAGTCAAGTGAAGTCTGGACTTGTGAGTGTCCTCCTGAATATATTTAAAGGTAAATTCTCCATTATCAATTCTAATCGTGAAAAATCTCTAAAGCAGTCATCCTAAAATGAATAAATGAATAGAAATGCTTTTTCAAACATGACAACTACTTTTGATTTTGCCCAAATCCAATTCTATACTAGATGATTGTCCGATGGAGCAGTCTTGCAACCTTTTCCTACTCATACATTCATATGTTATTATCATATTCACTTGGTGCTTCTCAATGAATTTTCTTTCACGCCCCCCCCCCCGGGAAACAAAAAACATTTTAGTGATCAGACGTACCCCCCCCCTGGCATTGCACCACATGCCCCATTATTTGAGAAGGACTGGGTTAACACAAAAACTGAATACAGATATGGTGCAAGTCATTAAGAGACATTAAGCAGACTACATTAGTATCTTCTAATCTTAAAACCATGGTTTCATTTAGGGACAAAGAGACAGTTTTTATCTAGAAGTCTTCTAGAGAAAGTTTAGTGAGCAGAATCCCTGATGGCCTCTAGCCCTGCTGTGATACTATTGCTTCACATAGGCCTACACCGAATAATTACGAAGGCCGGATGGTCATCGGCAGCTTTTGAAAGACAAAGTTATTCACAGCCATGACTTGTCGTTAAGGAATTTAGCCTAAAAGTGTCAATTTGAGATTAACTTTTCATCCTCACAGCTAAACTGAGTAAATCACAGTGGAGATGGCATTATGGCGCAGCTTGTGTTTGTGTGTGTGTGTGTGTGTGTGTGTGTGTGTGAGTATGTCGCTGCATGAGAGACAGACATGTTTGTTTGCTGTTTGTTTGTTTGGATAAGCTTTTTGCCTGGATGTGCTGCTTCCAGGATCTCTGATAGTCTGTATGTGTGTGTGTGTCTGTCAGTTAAGCAGATGGAGCTGGATTCTCACCACTGGGAAATTTCAATCCCACAATGCACCGGGAGTGGCGCCAAATAAGGAGGTGGCATTAGCAGCAACAATGAGGAACCAATCACAGCTTGTACACTTGAAAAAAAAAAAGTGCTTTCCCTCTTTCTCTCTCCTGCAGGCCCGTCCATCAACATGAATTGGGTCAGTTTACGAGTTAAGGTTTTACTTGTGTGCATAACGCTTACACACACACACACACACACACACACACACAAGTATCACAGACAAAGCAAAAGTGATTAATACAAATCACAAAAGGAAATGGCAACAGAATGGAGGATGGATTCACATCCTCCTCTTTTTCGTCTCTGTGCAAAGAAAAGCCACCGGAGGCATCTGGAAATCCAGGGTCCCTGGAAATTCCCAGAAACCAAACAAGATGTTTCACCGTCATTTAAACCTGATGCCATGCTTTTAATGAGATGTACTCTTTTTCCAGCGTCTTCCAAAATCATTAAACAAGTTCAAATAATTTTCTTCTGTTTGACGGGTGAACACAAGAGGAAAGATGTACACATTTTGTACTCGGAGCATGCCGAGCACAGTTAAATTCACATTAATTTGAATGTACTAGATACCTAAGAAAAGGACTCTGCGGCAACCAGTCATAGCACAAAAATGTAATAAAGAATAAATAAAGTGCTCCCAGTAGAACAGGCAGGATGGCGAGATGATTTAAGAAATCAGTGTGTGATGTGTCAGAGCAAATTAGCAAAACGATGATGACACATTTCCTTGCCCTAGCAAGGTGTGTTCTATCAGATCACTCTGTTGGTGATTGATCTTTATGTGGTCTCTAGGGTTTCATCAGCACAATATTTAGTCTAATTGCATTACTTATCCAATAAATGGAGGCAAAGTTTATTGCCAAACTGTGTCCAGCGTGTTAATAAAAGCAAGCATAATGACATTAAGGCAAAGTCGGGCATGCGTCATTGGGGATATCTGCTTGGACCAAATGCACTGTTTGGACATCTAACCATTATCATAATTAGAGAATTACTTGGATGATATCAACCTTTACCTGACTTATAACTAAGGGGCATTTTTAATAACTATAATAACAAATTATTGTGATCTTAGAGGCCAATTATTTGAGTGACTATGTTCTATGCTTGCTTGCTCACAGTGAAAAATAAATCGAACAGACATACACCTTCCATCCCCCATAGCCCTTCTTTGGCAGGTCTGGGACAAAAATGATATCCTCACTACCCAAACAACGAGTCAGTCTAGTGGTGCACTTTGACGCAGTCAACTTAAAATGCTACGGACCCCTTGATATCAGGCAAGGATGAAGCAAAACAGAGGAATGTGGCTGGTGGGTCCGGGTTGAGGGTCTAAACGGGATGTTTTCAAACCGGGCTAGTTCTGTTTGTCATCCTAAAGTCCCAAGCTAGTGTAGGCTCAGCAACTGGATGCTGATTTCCCATAAGCTCAGCTGAAGCTGTGGCTCAGAAGTTGGTGGCGTTGACATTTCCCTGCACCCATTGGCCCAGTAGCCTCCTCCACAGTCCCCGTCCGGGTTTGGTGACAAAGCAGCTGACAGCACAGTGGCAGCACCCTCTGCAGGAGTCTTGGAAAAGAAAGAGTAACATGAACTTAAATTAAAATAAAAGAAATCATTGAATGCAAAAACATGAAAAGGAATAGACTAAAAGTCAAAAAGATCATAAACAACCAATCACTACAAAAGCAAAGGACGACAGGAGTTTGTGTGTTTGCGTGCGTGAATACATGAAAAGGGCTAATGTCGATGTATGTTAAGATCAGGGAAACAGAGGCTTAGGGTAATTGGTGTGTATTTATGTGTGTGAAAACCTGCTTTCTATGCATATGTGTGAGTGCTGGTGTTGTGGTTTAACAATGATCTCCATGTCAGCTGTGACATCAGGAGCAGGTCTTTGAGGAGACCGGAGCATCAGCATCAATCCTCAAGTGAAGCCATGCTGCAGCGGCCACAGTACTTTACGACATGATTTTCTGTTGTTCTGATTAACGAATTATAATTTCGCCTGGCAGGCCAAACATGCTAATGCTGGCAAATTAAACTAGCTTTCCATTATTCATGTTGTTGCTGCCTGCAGTCTATTGGTTTCTTCACACATGGAAGGATTTTAGTGTTGAACAAAGTAAAATACGTTGTCGGTGAAAAAACAAGTATTTGCTGCTAACTGTGACTTGCTCCTTTCTTCAAATTAAGGCTGCATCTCTGTTTCTTTTGAAAGCTTTTACTTCCTGTGGATCACTGACATGGTCAGACTGACATGAAAAGCTCCAGTGCATTTGTCCACTTTTTAAAAGCAACAGAAAACAAGGCACCACCAGTGATTGGACTTTTTGTAAAAAAATAAACTGTCCAGTTGCAGCGAAAATATTTCTATGTAGCATCAAGCTACATATACACAGGCAAAGTATATAAAGTCCCAACAAAAAGGCCCCCAGCCAGGAATCAAAGAGAGCTTTGTAGCTGTAGGGTGGCGATGATGTGCACCCAGTTACAGGCAGGAAAAGCAGTTTGCCACTGTGGTGGTAAGCATCCGTGTCAATGATTGTGATTACATTCAGGAGTTTATGTGATTAATGTGTTTGTTTTTGTGGGTCAGAACCATACCAAAGGTTAGGCTTGTGGGTAAATGCCTGAAATAGTTGCAGTCAAGGGTTCACACGCACGCAAGTCTCTCTCTATCAAATCCCAAAGACATTAACATAAGCCTGCGGTCAGCCTTTAAGCTATGCAAGAAAGGCTGGAAAATTTAACACGAGAATAACAACCTGAATTTATTCTGAGTAATGCGCCCATCTCCATTGATGTGGATGGCCTGTGTGAATTAAAGTCATCGCGCATGTCAGCCTAACTGTGTTCCTGTTTTTCACTTTTCCTAATGATCATTGATCTGATCTACTTCAAAGGTTAGAAAAAAAGGTTTTTCTGTTATGCCTTTTTACCAACAGACTGTCAACATGTGAGCTTTCAAATTAGATATGAAAATATTAATGTTGACACAGTAGATGAGCATCCATAATTTATAAGCATTTAGTAAGCAGTTACTATTATTCAAAATATACATAATTTATGTTAATTTAAAAAAAAAAAAATTTTTAAATCTCATCTCTATCTTAACATTGACTAAATAAGATAAGTTCATGAAAATCTGAATATTTGTGCAAAACACAGCGTGAGGAGTGCTTTACCCTAAAAAGCACGCAGGCGACGACACTCTGTGCGAGACGGAGAGGTGTCCAGAGATGACAATAGAGAGCAGTATCCACCATCCCAGGATCCACAGCACAGGAACTCACAGGGAAACCTCCACGCTGCATCTCCTGGTGCAGCTGTCTGCTAAATAACAGCTGGGCCAGTTTACTGCGGCAATAGGCAGCGTGAGCTGAATAATGTTGGCTGAAGACAGAGAAAAGTGAGAAAACAGGTTGGAATTAAATATAAAGCTCAACTGAACTGCTGAGGTTGTCTAGTTCATTCTAATCATCTATTGAAAATCGTACTATGGAAAAATGCATTCATTTTCTAACCAGGGAACAATCATTTGAGGATGCATAATTATCAAAGATTTAAAACATGTTAATGCTCTGCTTTACTTTTTGTTTACTTTACATGTTCTAATGGTCAGAGGGCAAACATTTTCAAATGAGCAACACAATTAAGGAATAAATGACAAACTGGAACCAACAGCTGCCCACTGGATTCCACAGAGACTGAGGCTGGCTTGTGATGCCAGCACAGAGAAGGCAGGCAAATTTACCAAGAACTGAATCTAAATGTTTTTTGTTTTATATGGTTGAGAAGTAAGGAAACATTGGGGTCATGCAATCTTTTTTCCGACATTGTGCATTTGTTAGTTATATATTTGAAGAACAACATTCCCTTAGTATCAGCATGTCGTGCAGGTTAGTGTGTACCCACCAACTGTTCAAGTCATCTAGTCTGATCTCCCCAATGCAATGGGCTGATGATGAGACGTTGACCACACGGGAGATGGAACCACACTTCCCAGAACCCTTCAGTGTATCCAGGAGGAGCCAGGTCAACAGGAAGTGGCCAAGGTAGTTCACTCCAAAGTGCCGTTCAAATCCATCGACAGTACGACCCTCAGGAACCAGCATCACACCCGCTGAAAATATAAAAACACAAACATCACACCAATGATGAAAATTGGTCTTTGGGTGATTTCTTTACCTCTCCGATATGAAGACTTTTTTCATACAGAGAGAGAAACATAAGGCTAAAGTAAGAAAGTTATGAAACAGTTTGAAAGGTTTGACATAAATTTCCCCAAATTCCTGTTGCCAGTGAGCCAACAGTCTGCTGACAGTGGTAAATAGTCCTTGAAAAACACTAAAGACATGACAAAGCGCTTTACGTGTGAAAAAAGTATTTTGTCTTTGGGCTATAAGAATACCCCCTTACCATTACTCACCATTATTCACCAAAATATTTAATGGCAGCTTCCTCTCCTTGAAGTTCTGCGCAAATTGACGAACAGAATGCAGAGAGGCTAGGTCCAACTTCTTGAACTCAACTGAAAAAGAAGAAAAAAAACACACACAAAGGCGCACAAGTCAGAGCTATTTTAAATGGATTATTCCTGCTATCAATTCTGCTATTAAAACATCAAAGAGGGTGTTAATAATCTCCAGCAGCCTCCATGGATTCACCCCCAACAATACTGGAAGCGCTCTCCTTCCGTTGATTCAGCATATTATACCAAGCCTAATACTCCCTAATTCTTTCTGAGCCCCCTCAAAGCTTAACATAAAGTTATATGAGGTCTAATGTATGATAAGACACAGGTGAGGGACCAGTGCCCCTGGCTGGTTTTATCACAATGTTAACGTGACTGCGGGTTTTAGTGAAAGTGTGTGCGCATGCAGATAAATGATTTTGGTGATGCTCATCGCTGACTCACTTAAAAAGCTTAACGGGTAAAGATAACTTGGGAGAAAATAATTTCTGAATGTATGATCAAAAGGCCAAGTGGTAAAGTGGTGTTTTCAGACGTCGACATGCTGATATGATGGAAGGGTTTTCTTTGCATGTCCAGTTGTACAGACTGTGTCCCCAAACAAAGAATTACTTTAATTTCTCTCACTCGACTCATTTCACATCATTCGACAGATGCCTGCACACAGTCATTTGTTCTCCAGCCAGTGCATTATAAATCCAATCAGAACTTCTAACTTCTACTTAATGATAGCACTGCACTGCAGTATGGTACATAAACTTTAGGATTTCTTTGCCATCTATTTCAAGTTTCAGTAATTGGTAAAATTACTAAAATGAACCCGAAGGTATAGAAAATTTGCTCAGTCTGTAAGCACAAACTATTGAATGCAGCCACTAATACATGTTCAAAGTTCAGGAAATATAAAAATGCAGCATTTGTCATTAAAAGAAAAACTACTCAGTATTTTAGATCTACATGACATAATTATAACACAGTATGTGTAATAATGCTTTGTCATACCATACTGTTTCCAAAATACCTAAGTACAAAGAAATGGGCTTCAGCTATGGTTGGTTCCTGTAGGCTTTTGGTAAATCTTTTGAGTGAGTATTGTACTGTCAAAGTACATTACAGACACCCGTTTTACAAGAAGATACTCACTTTCAAACGTAAAAAAATAATGGCATTGTCACACTACAATGCAAAAACGTCTGAAGAGGGTCAAATATATCGGACAAAAGAAGGAAAGAGGACTGAGGGCAAGCACAGGAGGGGAGAGTTGATAGCACAGATTGAAAAAAAAAACGCTGCTGAGACAGATGAGAGTGTGGCTGTCTGTGATGAAGGTCTGATAGCCGCCTTATCTTTAAACCATGCCACTCACCTTCGGCTGACTGAGAGTGAGAGGGAGAGACAGAGGATAATGGGTAAAACCTAAGGAAGAGTGGGCATCTGAATGGCCACGAGTATCTATTTTGCCTCAGTGTTTTGGGGTATATTTCAACAGCATGTGTACCAGTAAACAGATGTGTCAGTGTGTCTTCATGTGGATTAAACCGAAAACAGATAAACATCAGTTTGTGTGTTTGTGTATCTATGTAATCTCTGTCATTCCTCTCTAGTCTTCTGGAAAGGGCCCTCATAAGTAAAAAGTCCTCAGGGATCAATGTGCTGTCGATCGAGCGTGGGCCTCTTGTTTAGGACTTTGAAACTGGTGACAGATTGTATATATATCATTTTGTTTTTTCTTTTAGCTGTTACTTCAGTATGATTTCAAATTCTGTCACATTTTAAATAGTTTCCCTTTGAGCAAGTCATGTTACAATCAAGTTACACTTTAGCCAGACTACATAAAGTTTACATATATTTCAAGAATTCCTAACTCACACTGTGTGCAATCACACCATGTTCCTCAGCACTAGTTTCCAAATGGTGTCTGACAATTCATTTGACAGGCCTATGGATGATTAATGGGTTAGAACAGAAGATAAAGGGGATATTTTATTGCCATATCTTACTGATAGATATCACCATTCTGTACTTTTTTCCAGGGGTTATAAGCCAAAGAGGGTAGGACACGCTTCCTTGTAGTGATTTCATTTTCATTTTAATGAAATGGCCACAGTTATCTTTGACAAATGATGTGGCCATGCCCTGAGATAGATACATAATGGGTCCAGTTTTGCAAAATTAAAATGAAAAACTAATGAAGGCAGAATTATTTGGAAGTTACAGATAATTCAGTTATAAGAGAAAGTTGGGAGATGTTGGGGATGAAGAGAGCTAAGTAACATAAAACAAAAGTCAGAGGCATTAAACCTGTCACAGGTAAGCCTTAAACGTATCCATATCCTTAAGCCCTTGGCTATTCTTTAAACTCACTCATCTATTTTCTATGCCCGCTTAATCATATTCAGCCTCAAAGAGAGGTTGGAGCCTCTCTTTGAGACTCAGCTGCATTTGGGCAGAGTATATCCCGGACAGGGTCAATCACAGGGACAACACAAACACAATCAATACAAACAACCACAAACACACATACTGTCCCTCATTTAACAAATCACCACTTAACCTAATGCACACTTTCGGACATTGGGTGAAAGCTGGAGTGCCAAGAGAAAACTCAAAGTAGAACATGAAAATTCTACATGGAAAGGTCCTGGCAGACAAAAATTTGTTGTGATGTTTGAAACTTAAACCACTCATCAAGTCACGGCTTCATTACGACAGTAAAGAAATTGAATATTTGACTTACAAGGCAAAATAAAATCCAGAACATTGTGTTTCAACTGTCATTTTAATAATTTGTAAGGGGTGCAAAAGGGCCGGTTTTAGTCTTTGGTCATTTTTCATAACCATAGCTCATAATATTAATTTGAAAACATCTATCCAGTAAGTTTGGTAATGCTCATGCTTTATTTATCACTGGACGATGGTTCAAATCCCTGGCCTTTTTGCCATTTCATTTGTTTATGTGTTCCTTTTAGTTTTTTTGCAATTCAATTTAAAAATAGCAAATAAGTTAAAAGGGGAAAAAAAAATTAGGGGAGGGGAGGCAAACTTTTGTAACCATAAATCCCCATTTCCACCTGGCTTAAACAGGCATCTTGTGTTCCAATTTTGCGTGCAGCAGATATGATTAAGATGGATTACACCTACATCTGATATCAAAATGCACCGCTGATAAGCGCATTACATTCCTCTCCTTCTTGCCCAGAGACCAGGGGAACTGCATTGGTCACATGATTTAAAGGTGACATAAAATAAGCTGTTGTGATAAAACTGATTTAGTTTCACAATCTCACTTGATTTATTTGTGTTCTTTGCACTAAATAAAAACACAGTATAAGGTCCTGTGACAGTTTTTTTTCCCCGTCTTACACTAAATTTTGTGACTATTTACGAGTCAAAATACAGAATGAACTGTCAACTCTAAAACCACCTGTTTGATACCCAGAGAAGGAAATATAAATAGGTGCTTTGAGCTGTCTGATAAACAACACAGTGACTTCCAAGAATATTAGCTCTGGGCATCGTGCCAGCGTTTGCTCCTCCACAGATGTTTTTTTTTCAGCTGATGTGGGGGAGAGGAGGCTGGCTGGTGCTTATGTCAACTGCAGCGTGTTGCGTTAATGGGATGATATCCACCCATGTCAAGACAGCCATGAATTCAAATATATGTATACTCTGAAGATAACCTACAAACATAAATAACGCAGGGAAACGTGTAGATGTGCAATCAGTAATATGCATCCGATGTCATAAAACATCCCAGGGGTGCAAGCACACCATCTCACAAGGTCAGTCTTTTCTACACATTCTGTTGCAGTTTGATTCTCTTCGGATTCAAAGAGTTTTTTTCCTCAAACAACACTGTCTATAAAGAGGATGCAGCTGGGTTACCTTGGCTGGGAGCGAATTAAATGTCTGTTAACTGGACAAACACACACACAGGTTGTCTTGCCTCACACAGATAATCTAGGCCTGTGGCTTCAGGCACAATGTGTTACTTTCAAATGCACCGTGACTAAAGTTAGTGGACAGACAGCGCTGCTTGTGGTAAAAGTACAGAAATAACCCAATATCAGCATGTGTGTGCGTGTGTGTGTGTGTGTGTGTGTGTGTGTGTGTGTGTGAGCTCATAATTTAAAATAAAATGCCCCTAACTTCAGTGACCAGGACACAGTTGTGGTCTAAATGAATTATCAAAATCCCACAGGGTGGTTTTTAAGGTTTTCTAAGGACAGTGTTCTTTCCAGGCAAGGCAACATCATTGATGTAAAATTGAACAAACACATGTACATTTTAATACTTTAACAAACCTGCAACCCACATAATTCAGTGCCCCAGGGAGGTTTTAGTCCATAGAGACAGAGATTGTTAGAATTTGATTACCCCCCCAAGCAAGCAACTGTTGACTGAAGGGCACCACTGTTGTAACACAGTTGAAAAAAAAACACAAAACAGCAGAAACAAGAAATAAAAAAGTGTACTGAGCTTGACTTTCTTAAGAGCAGCAATAACACTCTGTGATCTGCATCTCACAAGCTTTCCCAAGAAAAGCTTAAGTGCCATTTGGCAAAGAAAGGCCCACAAAAACGTTTTCCAACAGGAGGCCAAATATCACATTTGCAAGCAAAATAAATAAATACAATTGAACGGCTGACATTTGACAAACAACGCAAACGGCATTTGAAAATGAAGTACGTCAGTGAAAACTCACATAATAAGAAGTTGACTAATGGTCCTTTTTTTTCTCCAAATTAGCATTTGCTCTAATTTGTTTTCTGCTTTGGCAAAATGATTTTCCAAGTGGGTATTGGATTGGTTTGGTCCAGTCACAAAATTTTGATCTGGCACTACATGGGGCGCAAATTACATCGACTCCAAACAGTGAAGATTAAGGCTTTTAGCAGTGTCAGCTGCAGAATGTTGACTTTTTTCAGAAGTGTGACAATCTCATGAGTATGGACTGGATCACACACACTGCACCAGGTTCAGAATCTTCCTGGGGACACTAGTTAGTTTTACTATGCACAAGAACCAAAGGCTGGACAAAGGTATTTTGTATTGAGTTTCTTCTTATTCTACACATCATGAAAATATCATGAATTATTAAATCAAAGCAATTTTTGTTACTGGTAACTCTGTGAAGTCATCTGCTGAAACATCCAACATGTCTATTACGAGCTGTCGTCCATTTTTCCTAACAGGGGAACGTTCACACTCTGGGATGGAAGCCAAAGAGTATTTGGACAGAGATGTTTAAAGCTCCTGCCACACATACTAATGAGAATCCATTACTGTCTCATTCTAACACACTCAAACGTACACATCAACATATTCTCATTCAGTGCACAAGCATCTAGCTCCAGACACCCTCTTGTCCCTTATGCCTCAGTGCCTGCCAATTACAAAAGAGGTAATCAATTCCACCACGGTCCCGTCCAGGGAAATCGACCTCAATGACACCGGCTACATGGCTGCTGTCTCTGTACCTGACAGTAGCTTACACGCGGGCAGGGTCCCTGTCTTCCAAGCCTCTTTGGCTTCGCATTGCAAGGCCAAGCAAAATAAACTTGCGTCCCAACTGGCACGGCACAATTCACATCTATTTTTCCTAAAATAAAGCTTAATAATAGAATAGTAACACAGTTATGTGATTTTTTTTTAAAAAGGTGAAATGGGTGTACGCAGGTGTTTTTCCATCAATCCATTTCCACCGGTCCAGTTTTTCAAAATGCGAAAAATAATTTCTTTATTCTAATGTAATTAGCAATGTATGAGTTTCAATCCCTGATATATTGTAAATAGAGCATTTACTGATATGAAAATCAGCACTACATGTGATTACTTTTACACAGCACCCCCGAAATTTTGAAATTGCAACATTCTTCTTTGCATAACATTCACTTGCACTTTTTTCTCCAAAGGCAATGACGGAGTTCAGCTTATCCCCCCTACCCCACTCCCCAAAATCACCAATCATCTCTTTTTTGTGTTTGAGTTCAGGATTAAACAGTCTCATGCTGTTTTATCATTCTTTTTTCTCCTCTGTTGCAGATAGCTCAGAGAGTCAATCTGAGAAAGTGACACGGAGTGACCAAGATAAACTGTGCCAGAGGTATAAAAGCAAGACACCACTGGACATGAGTCAGCTTCATTGTAAAACTTTTTAATCTATTTTCTCTTGTAAAGCTTCGGATCCAAATGAAGTGTCTGAATATATCGGGGGCCAAACTGCAGGTGGTAAAAACTCAAGGCCGTTTGCCACGGATGAGAATAACTCATGAGGGTTCTTTGTCATCACACAGTGGAATTTACGGTACTGTGAAGGTCAGCCGATTCCATTTCTCAACACTGGAGTTACAGAGAACCCTGTAAGCTTCAGTCGATGGAGTGATAAATCTCTGGTATCATCTGTCTCTTCTTATCTCCATCACCTTCTCTGTGCGTCCATTCTTTTACCATCTCTTCTTCCTTTCCTCTTTTTTTCTTTCATTTATCTTGTCATGTTGTCCTTTGCCCGTGTATCTCTTCTCTGCCTCTCTAAATTCCGATCTGTTTATTTATTCATTACTATGGGAGCACAGCATCAGACGGAGGACTTTGGGTCTGGACCTGCTGGTCAGCTGGGGCTTACGTGAGTGAAGACCTGTTAAGGGATAAAGGTACGACTAATGGTGGGTTTTTTTTTATTACCCTCCATGTTTTTCCTTCCATAAGCCTTTTCCCTTGTATGCTCTTCATCATAGTGCATCAATGACACTCCATTAAAGCCAGTTTGGAAGCTTATTGTTGGCCTCTGCCAGCGTGTATATGTGCACACTGGGTTTGTTCAGGCAGTTAACAACCAGGCTGTGGTACAGACTGATGCGGCTCTGCCTTTTTTGTGCAAAAACAGAGACATGATATTGATATATTTTTGCTAACACAAGCACTTGTGTGTGTCTGTGTCGCCCGCTAATGTGTTTGCTGTGTTACCTTTGGCCTCCTTGTACTCGTCACAGATCCTCCTGATGGCTGCAAGACCCTCCAGCTCATCCCTCCCACCTGAAAGAAAAGGAGACACCCTGATGAATATGATGTCTGACAAACCCTTAAAGGCTTTAAAAAAAACATGCAGATTTGTTCTTTCATTTAATGAAATCCTAAAAGAAGAGATGGTCTCCAAGATTCTGAAAATTCTTTGAACAACCTTTTCAAACCCTCATTAACATTTATCATTGAAAAAGATTAGATCAAATATTTCCTCTACATTTGCAAAGTTTCTTTTTTTTTTAAGAAACATCAGTTCAAAAGAAAAGGCAAACTTCAAAACAGTGTTAACAGAAGGCGCCAATGCAAAGCCCTAAGGCATTTTCTTTAGTGTTGAGTCTGATATCTTTTCATATGGTAAAGAGACAGCCAGTTTAGATTTCAATGACACCAAAAAACCATTACTCACGTCATGATTCGTGGGTATTACAAGGAACATTCAGGCTGGATTAGAGTGAAAGCAAAGGTTTTAAGATTGTATTTCCCCACAATTTCTCATTTCTTCATATAAAACTGACATTTATCTCACATGATTATCTTTATTGCAAACAGATTTGAGGGATCCCAAAATGATATGTAATCTGTCATTTCGAGTGAAAAACAGAAACAAATGTCTTTTCCCCCTGCCATAAGTCCAATATGCTAGAGCTCAACAGAACATTTGTGCCTTCAGCAGGAGATTCTGCTGCATACAGCGAGTGTTTGTTTCAGCCCTCGCTCCTTACCCCGGAGAGGCAAGAATCACAATGGCTACACAATTCCTTTAATGTCTACCATAGTGTCCTCTCTTGGTAGGACGTATCAAACAAGAGCTCTACTGAAAGGTTCAGAAGAGCCCTAGATTTTGTGTTCTTTTCGATGTGCGCTAAGACAAGGCTAACAGGATTAAGATGGTATTTGTTGCATACGTAGGCCCAATTTGATAGAGAAAGGATATTCCCCTGTTTAAAAAAAACAATTAATTTTATACTGCAGGTTAATTAACAACAGGTAGGTAACATGAAGCTGTACAATAGGTGAACTACGAATAGGCTGACTCTTTGAAAGCTGAATACGGGGACGGACTCAACACGCTCTCAAACATGAGGTGGGCAGATGGTTCATCTGTTTAAGTGTATTGCCTCTCTCCGCACTTGTTGAACAATGTTTGTGGAATTTCTTATTCATCATTTTTTCAATAATTTCAGATAGAAAAGCATGTCTGATAATTTGATTTTTTCAACCTTGGGAGTAATAGCTTTAAAGCAGACATCAGTGGAACTACTGTACGATAAAAAACACTCTTGATTCATGACTACATTCATAAATGCAAGTTAAACCCTTAGTGTTTTTCTCTGGGCCTTATAACTTAGTGCAACGCATGGGTAAACCTGCCCCTGTAACAACAGCATTGTTGTCAAAGACTAAAAGTTGACACGTATAAGTGGGGATATCTCAGCTTCGAAATTTACTCTGATATATCAAAGCAGAACTAGACAGCAACTCTGCAGGGTTTCCACTTGATTAGTTATGAAACCAGAGCCTCCTTAATCTGACAGCAGTTTAACATGTCATTTGCATGGACACTTGAGATAAATGTCACCACTAGAAGCCTTTAAATACCACTTCAATACGACTGAGTCTGAGACGAAATTTCCTCCGATTAATGCACATGCTAATAAAGTAGGAGGTGAAATATTCAGCTGCATGTGGAGAAAGTGAGGTGTACGTCTTGTCTTCTTATTCCGTCTTAGATTAAAGAAATACATGTCCTGACAATCTTTTACTCCATAGGCAGAAAATATTTAAATTAAATCTAATTTTAAAATGTTCGGGCCACACAAGTTGTCCATGGACTGATCCCCTCATTTCAGGGAAGTTTATAAAAGCTTTTCATATTACAGCACGTCACGTAAATTTTTTTTTAAAGAATCTTATATAAAATATACATTTGGGAAAAAAATCAAATATCATAATATGACCTAAAGTCTCCTAGATGATTGATTGGATTCCAAACAGATATTGTTATGGGCAAAGATGACTGTCTTTATATTAGAGAGACTAAAAGACCAAAAACTGATTTGAAAAAATTAGACTACCTGTGGAAGTGACTAAAACCTGGTGCTATCTAACAGATATAAGAACCAACAAAAAAAATCAAACCCTCACACAGGTACCAGAGTGGTTAGTCAATGTATGAAATATTAACCAACAAAATGTTATAAGAGCATTTATCAAATACTAGCTTTCGCTGCACGGTAATAAATAAGCTGCATGAATAGATGCATACACACAATCTCTATTTCCCTATTTTTCCCCCCCAAACTCACGCACACACCAACAGCAAACCCATACACTTCACTCTCATTTCCTCTCTGGACGCACACACAGACACACTAATCATGGATTATCACACTGGGCTTTTCAAGGGCACAGCATCATTTTTCCTGATGCACTGTGTTCGGAGCGGGGCTAAAGGAAGCAGCTCCTCTGCGTGACATGTCACAGGGGTCACACTGACGTACAGGCAGAAGACAGGAAGGGGCTTAGATCTTTTAGTCTTTTTTTTTTTTACACAACTAGTTGCCCTTCAGCTGGCACATTTACTGACATCCACTGGAAACAAAGTACCTCAGCATCTGAAACGAAGCTACCCATTAAAGAAAAGTCCTGAGGAAACGGTTTACCCACTAAACATTTTAGGAAGAGAGGTAAATATGTTAATTCAGAGCAATAACCACTGTAGCTCAAAATCTAAGCAAACTTAACCAGACACAAAGAAAGTCTTATTTTACATATGACACCTGGAATTCAACATTAATGGAATTGATTTGAGGAAAAGGGTGAAACATCAACTTAAAAAGTTACCTATTTGGGGATAGATTTCCTGACACTTCCTGCCTTGCCTTTAAAAAAAAAATCTGTATGGCTTTACTAAAGAGTATGCAAGATTGAAAACAGGAAAATGTGTGCAAACAGGGATGACCCTGTTGTGTAATCCGTTTTCTTTTAGAAAATTGAATTTACAGAGTAGGTTTTGATTACAAGGGCTGATTTACTAAAGGCTGTTGTACCCAATTTATTGGGAACTGTGCCACTATTAATCACTGAAAAAAGCAAGTCTTAAATGTTACCCTTGAAGTTGTTGTGAGGGGAAGACATTCTGGAGTCAGTGAGGGAGAAAAAGTTAAGTATTTTCTGCCATTTCAGGACATTTCATAACACTATTACAGCCAAGAAACTGTTTTTAAATAGAGAAAGTCTGCAATCGACTGTGATCTTCAATAACTGCAATTATTCACGTATAGTTGTTTTATATTCCAACCATCTACAAAAAAACAAACATGATCAGAGTTTTCACTCCAGACATTTCAGGTTTCAATATCTTCAAAAATCCAACAAACAGCATCATTTTAATTAAAAAAAGTAAGTACCTGAAGCATAATTTCACCATGGTCTATATCCGTTTCCACTATTTGACAGTGAAGAGGCTCAAAAGAAACTCCCCTCACTCAAGCAGTATGCTACAGCTCAACCTGAAATATGCATCCACTTCAAGATCAGAGAGGAATCCACTTCAACATTAATATTCTAATCCCATGGATCACTTCAAGAAGGTGGTGTATTAGAAATGGAAATACATATAGAGTCCTCAGACTTGAGATCCCCTTCAAAACAAATAGGACCGTCTGAGATGACAGTAGGTCCTTGACCGAGTTCAAGTTAAGGTATAGCCCAAGTGTTTAAGAACAAAAAGACACTCTCGAGGGAATTGAGCATTTGTCCAGCATTTGTTAGTTGTTTCTGTTTTTATTTATACAAGGCCTGACCTTTGGGATATAGTAAAAGATGTCCCTTGAATTTGACACTGCCTGAACAAAGCTATAACCTGTGACATGGTTTCTGTGGTTTTACAAAGAACAGAAGCCAATATAAGATATATGAAGGGGCCAGGACGTGACACCGTGTGCAGCTGAACCAATTCCTCTTCTACCTCAAAGAATAAAACCCATATGAATTCAAGAAATAGTCAGCTGAATAGGTCTTATTTTCAACCACAGTAGCATTCACTATATAATTTAGAATCCATTTCAAACTGTGGATGAAAACCATACAGTAGACTCGGAAAGTCCACCATTTGAAGTAGGTGTTTACTCTTAAGTAAAGACGAAGTAATAGTTCATCTTTTCTCTAGAGAGCATACCTAGAGGCTTTTATTACTACCTGGTAGAATATCTTTCTGCAAAAAACAATCATGTGAAGAAACTACACGTATGAAGGATTGGACTGAAATCGCTCCTTATGATCATTGTTGTCACTGTGACAGAAAAAGCTACTTGTTTATTCCACAGATCGAATAGTTGGTGTGCAGAGATTATTGGCATGACTGTATAAGTAATATAGAATAAGCATACAAATGCAGAATAAGAATGAGCTCATAAGGTGGATCTATTCTCTCTGATCTGATTCATGTTTTCTAATGTAAAATACACACATTACTAACCAGTTTTTAAATGAATAGAATATTTTCCCAGACATCTTTGTGATATCTAATAATCCACATTTATTCCTTTGTGTGTGTGCACACTGGCAGAAGGAGTTAATACACAAAACTAAAAGAAGTCAAGCTACGATTTCCTTTATAAGACTTTGGTGTAATACATTTATCTCGAGACAATAAATATTGCTAAATGAATCAAAGAACAATGGCAGAAATTTATTTACGCAAAGAGGCTCCCCATAATCCTGAATTTGCATTTCATAGTGAGCTTGATAACAGCCTACTATTCCCAGCAGAGCTCAAAATCTCCTTATATCCTCTCACAGAGGAGCATTGCATGCCTTTTAAATGATGAAAACAATCTGTTGGGATACTATTACAAACCTTAGATGAATATGTTGAGTGCAAAGTAGAATATCAATGCACTGTCGACCGCCTGGTTTTGATTTTTCACTTTTACGCCTTGATACCTGTGCAGGTTTCTTTCGCTCAAGGCTTTCATTAACCACAGTCGTTACATTTGCCATCAAAAATTATTTAAAACCAGGATCTAAAAATTAACAGCATGGCCTTTGAAATGCACTTTGTGGCGTGCATCAATGCCAGTAGATTATTTTAGGTAACAGTCGTCTGCATTGGGACATTTCCCATGTCAGTCTATGAAGCTTTCCATCCACTGGCACATTGTTGAGAATTTGTCAGATGGCGCGTCAACTGAATAGGCTGGCAACATTTCCTTCTGTGGGCCAACCAGCAGAGGTCTTTTCAGTTCTGTTACTCTGACGCAGTCATTTGGCTCTTTGACAGACTTTTCAGTTTTACCAGATTGTTATCTGCAAAATAAACTCATGTCAGGTCTTAATTCTAAAAGTGATGTATTAAAACCTCCCTTGACAGTTGTCTTTCCTCAGAACAGATAAAATCCTCCATTTAAGACTAGTTCCAGTGCAAAAGAGAAAAGACTGTTTGCAATGATGAAACTCAAACAAGGAAGAGAACAGCATTATCAGGAAATTGAACACAACCAAGTTTATCTTCCCCTTTTAAAACGTATTTCCAAATTCTATTTTAATTTCTGCCTTTCAAAGTACTAAACCTCAGGATATGCATCATATGGTACAAAACTCTTGTTGTTGTATGACTGTCTTGTAAATAAAAATGTTTTAAAAAATGGTCTATCTCAGTTGTTTTGTAAATTAAAGATTTAAATGCAATATTTATCAAAATGCAGCCTTTTGAGACATCACTTCATACATGTGGGCAAGTCCACAGTTTGCAAGTCCAGTGTGCATGTCAGTGTTGAGGTGGTAGATACTATACCTATGATAACGTGCGCCCCCAGTCTGGCCAAGTGGCGAACTACCTCATAGCCGATTCCCCTGCCTCCTCCTGTCACTATGGCAACAGTACCATCTTGTCTGGGCATCACTAGCAGTCAGAAAAGGACACAAATATCAGATAAAATACCATTTGAGATTAGATTTCCTCATTATTGTATCATGATGTATTCACAGGAAGTGTGGATTCCGTCAACCATGAGGGGACAAACTTTACAAACCTAAGATTTTCTGCCAAGTAACCTTCCAATGCATTGTAAGGTTACTTGAGTTCTCTCTTGATGTTTCTACACATTAGAAACTACAAGGATTGGGATTTAAAAAAGGTCAGTTAGGGGCTGAAGGACTTCCATTAATTCATTTAGAAAATAAACAATTTGATAAAATATTCTTTCTTAAATGACTGGCACCAAGTTTCGCCCCCTCACTTAAACACTCAACACATGTTCTACACATTATTTTGTGTGCTTTTTCAAGTTAAAAATGTGAGCAGATTACTCAAAGTGCAAGAATATCATTCCAATGTTGTAACTTAAACTGACGGGATGGCGGGTTTAGGAGGCGACTAAGGTGCTTTCACACTTCCTTGTTGAGGTCACATGTGCCTCACTGGTCCACCTGCCCATTGTGTGGGTCACATAGGTCATTGTTGTTTATAAGTTTGAGATTCATGGTGAGAATGTTGAGGCTACATCTTTGGTGAATGTTATAAAATTGCCCAAGGTTCCCCAAACTAACACTTAAAGAGCAGTATCACTTCTATTCCCTGTTTTTTTTTCTCCCCAACCATTCTTATTTTGAATCCTAGAGACAAAACATATGATCATTATGTTGGTCTAAACTACTTGCAATCTATAATGACGAAAATCAGTTCGTAATTTAAAAGATATATACATTCATTAGCTGTTATCGAGCAATACATAATGCCACCATGTTACAACGGAAGAGGTTATTTGTGGCCTGGTAGGCTTGGGATGCTGTTTAATAAACGCCTGGTGGCAGATTGAACAACGGGCAAAACAGATGAGTTATGACCCATTTTGCTTTCCATACTTCCAACTCAAATTCTTCAAATTCAACAATAACGTATTTGGTCTTTATAGAAAGGACCACGATTTTCCAGTTTAAACATGATGTCATGTGTATCCTTAAGACTGGCCTGAATATGTCCTTTGACATTGAGGTCATCCAGTTCTGTATAAAAACAATAGCAAACACTGTCTTGGAGACGGTTCATCCCCTATGTGTGCACATTGACGCGTTTAAAAACTCTTGTGACACGACGCCAGAATACGTGGTGAAATATTATCAATTTACACTAGCATGGTTCGCGGACAAATTAAAGAACCTATGTGAACATATTTTGAAATTTAATTCAACCCTTGAGTTATCTGGGTAAGTTCGGCAAACAACACCAGCCAGTCAACACTAATTAAGTATGCGTTCGAAACATTTCCAATAGTTAGCACAGCTAGCTTAGCTGCAGGGCAACAAAGTGACAATCCATCCCGAAAAACACGGATTAGTCGGGTTAATTTAAGAGTACGACCGGGTTGTTGGCAATGCATTGTTATTCCGTGTGTGATACTCAGCCGAATCATGCACAACTGTTGACACTAACGTTTGTTGACGCTGTGACTGAGAGGGAATTAAACTAACCTGGCAGTCTCAAAGGTTTTGTTAACAGCTGAAGCAGCAAGACCTTTAAGCCCAATAGGTAAAGCTTGATAGCAGGTAGGAGACGGAACCGAAGAGCAGACCACATCTTTTCCAGCAACTGTAAAGGCATCAGAAAGCGTTTTCAGTAGAAAGCAGCATTTTAACACAAGCAAAGGTAGAGTTGACAGGCGCTGCTCCAGCAGAGGGAAGCATTCCAATATGAAGTTGTCCAACCTCGCGTCATCACTATGTCATGTCAAGATTTGCTACATACACTAAGTCTTATTTTATAGTGTCAAACAGTGTTGAAATTGCTTTAAAGATTTTTGGCATATCAAATATTTGACTCAGAAAAATGTGATACTTTAAAAACCATTATCACTTAACAATTAGGTTTGAGGACTGTGATTGAAGGTTCTTATGGCTTGATTTGCCACATGATCCATGTTGGAAGATTCTGCATATTGCTTCTTTCAACTCACTGGCCACCTAATTAACTTCTGCCAGTAAGGTCACACACTTCAGAAGCAACAGCCATGTGACGGATCAGTCTGCTCCATAAATTCCCAAGATGAGCTTTCAGAGTATGTGACTAGTTATGCAGCTCCTCCTGCTAGCAAATCTGAGTGTTTTTGTTCGGCTTTTAGACTTTTGTTTTCTAAAAAAAAAAGATTCCATCAAATTTGGCTACTCTTACTTTAAAGTATAGTAATAAGTAGGTAAATACAACTTCAGCAGCAGAGTTACTCCAGCAAATATTTTTTTGTGTGCAACAGTTAATCTGAGATGCTCTCCAGTTTAGGAAAGGTTTCACTCATAATTCCTTAGAAGACTTCTACTTCTGTTGTCATACATGCATGACTTTAAAGTATTTGCACTGATTTTCATTTATATTAATTTTTGAAGGGAGAGCCACCATAAAATCTTCTTATTTTTATACTTTAAATTGTTAAATTCTTACAAGACTGTTATTGCTCAAACTTTTTTTATTTATTTAGAAATCTAACTTCCTTAGACAGAAAGTAAATAAATGCATTGTTGGCAACTGATTAGCAGGATATTGCCTTGCATGGCACAGCTTTCTGTAAATAAAGCGTACGTTTGTCAGTGGATTTGAACAGAGTAACTAATGGAGTGATATTGTGACCTAACAAAGACCCAGCTGACTTATCACAGGCGTTTATATTCGGTGGACCAGATCGCCCTCATTTCAATTCAATTACAATCATTTCTGTTAACGATAGGTTTGGGGCATTCACAATAACACAGCTTTTTTTCTTGACAAGCAAATGATTACTATTAGGTTGCGTCTTGCCCACAATCCAATGGTTTAGGTCAGGTTAGAATAGCAGTGCTGACAAGCAGTTGGCCCCAGTTATTAAAGTTCACTCCAGAAGGCAGCGAAATGGGCAGCAGCAAAAAGAGCCTGTGCCATCATCCTTATGGAACTTGTGTGTGACGGTTTGTTCTGCAGCGGAGAGAGAGATCGGGGGTCAGCAAGGCGAACTGGCCTGCTATTGTTTAAAGGAAATCGCATCTCACGCATGACTGTGGGATGATTATTTGGGTTGATGGGACATCAGGGACACATTTAAGTACACGGGCACACAAGCACACACGCGGATATGAAGACACATATGAGACATGCCGGGAACAGCGCATGACAGGAGGATGTGTGATGTAAATAACATGTGAACAGCATCAAAATAGCCCCAACCAACAATCACCTAGTCTTTTCTGACAACCACAAGCAGACTGCTACTTGGCTTATTTGGAAATCCAGACTGACAGCAGCTCTGTGGGATCTCTGTGTGCATGTGTGGGCTGCCAGCTAAATATGAAATCCCTTATTTTACCTGGACTTATCCTGGCAAGAGACAGAGAAAGAAAAAAACTCAAATGTCGGATATTTTTAGCTTAAAAAAAGAGTTTTGGGATGGCGCTCTGACACACTGTTCTTGAACACTTTACCACTATTTGTTTTTGTAAGTGATCGGCTGCCCCCAGGGGAGATGGCAGGTGAAGCGTCACATTGTGCAGAAAGGGAAATCTTCGGGCGTGTCACGGGCAATTTGGTCTCTGGAGTGCAACAGCTTGTGTGAATCAATGCCGTCTTTTCTGACGGTTTGAGCAGCGTCTTCAGAAGTCTCCTCCGACTGAGAGGAAGACGGTCAAGGTTGAACTGGAAGCTCAGACTTTGACGGATGAAGCTGCAGGCTTCACAGGATTTAGCCAGAGTCTATGTTAAAGTAGAAAGACTTTTAAGAAGTCTGATATACAAAGCATGTATGTACTACACATTGACTGTGATCAAAGTAGCACACAGAGGTGAAGGAAAAATAATCTTTTTCTCTTGATTTTCCTTTTAATACAAAACAGGATTCACAACATATTACATTTTTATGGTTAAAGAAAATGTTAAATCGTAGACTTACTTGTAGTGTATTGATTTATATTAATATTACTATGAGGGGAAGGGACATGTTTCCATGTTAATGTTAATTTAATAGTGTATTTAACTAATAAATCTGTTCTTTTGTTTATTAGTCTGCACACTCGTCAAATTGGGCGGTTATGGAGAAGATGTCTATCTGGTGGATTAGATAGAGTAGAAGATGATGTAGTGAGTGTAAGTATTACGCAAAAACCTTACAAACACTCCTGAGGACATTTGTCAAAGAAAAATCTGACTTACTTTTTTTTGTAGCAAACATTGTTAAATATAAGCTTAATCTGTATGTTTATTTTCCACAAACTACAACATCTGATGACAACTTTCATTCCATTAAAACTCATTTTCTAAAAACGTGTTTTCCTTATACTGAAGCACTGAAGAAACCAGGCATAGTTTTATGAAAAAAGTAGCTTTTAATCCAGGAAATTCCTGCTCCTTTATTAATTACAAAAGTACCTAAATCGCTATACTGATAGATAAACCGAAACATGAACCTCCACAACATGGTTTTCATGGCGAGTCTGGTACCGGTGCTACATCCACATCTGGCAACATTGGAGAAAAGTCTTTGGACTCTCCCTTTAACCACAAATAACTTCTGTTATATTTCAGTTTGAACTTAACAAAGAGGCCATCTCTTTAAATATTCAACATGGAAATGCTGCTAGGCTTTTCCAAAGCCAGAAGTTGTGAGAGTCTAAAAGCTGAATGGATGACGGTCAGAGTTCAAGGAATGTTTTCACAATATTTATGATCATCACATATATTTCACAACTCTTCCAATGTAAATAGAATAAAAAGCAATTCATGGATTTAGATGGATGGAGGTTAGAGCTTAAGTGATTTTGCTCATTTTAAATCTGTGGCCACCTCAGCAAACAAACTACATCATAGAAACTCAATATATGTAATTCAGGTATGGTCATTAATCAGTGACAAAATCCTTGAATTGTGTGGCAGAAAGTTTTTTTTTTA